GCAGCTGCACCCAGCAGCAGGGCACTGAGAGGGCACCTGGAAGCTAGGGGCTCAGATTCTTGTGGGCATTAGGTTTACCCTGAGCTTGGTGTTTGTGGCATACGACAAACATCTAAGTAACTTCATAATCTGCTGGCTTCCCAGCAGGTGAGATTCGAGGTGGCACCCCAAGTGTCCCAGTTGCCTACCCTGGCCAAGATCTACTGGTGGGATTTGTCAGTCATCCATCACTGCCACAAATGACCCACAGCTGCAAGCCCCGGTTTAGAAGCTTCAGTCCTGGTCACTGGCTTATCACTGAGGGTCAGTGGGAAGGCCCGGCGGTAGAAGAGCAGAGTGGGCAAAGCTGCTCACCTTATGGCGGAAGAGGAGCTGCCGCTATACAGAGTCCCCAGGGCTTCACTTTCTTCAGCTAAGTCCCACTTAGTTTCTGTCCCCTCCCAACAGCCTGACAAACTGTAAAGTCGCCCACAACTAATACCTGGACAAAGTCAGAGTCCTCATGATCCAGCCACTTTCCCACGTCTCCACCCAGCTGCACTGGGGACCAGCCAAGCCTTTAACACACAACCTAACAAACCATTCCACAGAGGGAGTAAGATGGGAAAGCCACCGGGCTTGCCCACCAAGGCCTAGTTCCAGTTGGCTGCCAGGTGAGTTCTGAGCGCAGGGCTTTGGGAACTTGACCTACCCACTTCACACCGGTGTACACTGAGTGGGAAAGACCAATGCACACGAGACCAAACACACGGGGCGTGCAAGGCTGGCTGCCTAACAACATGAAGAGGGAGCACACAGGTGGTTCCTCACCAGAGAGATGACACCCTCCAACTAAAAGATGTTTCCTCACCAGAGAGATGACACCCTCCAACCAAAAGATGTTAGCCCAGCAGCACACAAAAGGTGTTGCAGTATCAAGCTTAGGCTGCTCTGGCCCCTCAGCTACACTAGGAACTGGACTGCCCTCACCCAGGTCTTACATCTCAGTGGAAAATCTCTGTGCTGGCGGGCTCCTGAGACAGCCTTCTCTCGGCATTCACAGTGTTTACTCTCCAGAGGAACAAGGACAGCCAGGGCTGTGGCTAGCCCACAGTTCCAAACCTGGCCAACGCTGGTGACCCAGAGTAAGCAAGCACACCCAGCACGGTAAACACCCACCTAACCTGAAAAGTCCTGCTGGAAGCCAGTGACAACCTCAAGAGTGTGACATCCCTGAGGGCTACAAGTATGCCTTCTGTTTATGGCCAGACCTTCTGAAGAGTGGCTGCTGAAGTCAGAGTTCTCAGAAGAGCAGAGCTGAGCAACCACACTGTGCAAACTGAGCAAAGATTAGGCACTCTAAGGGAAGCCTGATGGACAAACAGGTTTGGAACGTGGGCAACCCCTCATCAGATGCTGCCCTGGGGGACTCGGCAGGACACCCCTAATCTCAGGGCCATCTTTCAGTGGGAGATGCAAGCACATTTCAAAGTCCCAAGATTTGAAATTCAAGATAAAAAGAAACAGGAGCAACTGACTTAGCACAGACAGCTGGGGAATCTGCCTTCACCAAAAGGGGTCTAATGAAACAAGCACAAAGGGCGGTGCTTGGCCAGCAGGAAAAGAAGCCCGACAGTGTGCTTCCATGAAGGTTATTGTTTCCAACAGAGAAGACTCTGAAGTGTGCTACCTTGAGCTCTTGGCAGAGAAAAGTCTCCAAACTCCAGGCTCCGCTTGGAAGCTGCATACTGTCCTCACAGGAGCACTTCCAAATGGTCCCACGAGCTAAGAGACCTGCATGGCTCATACCCCACTGCTGAGGGATACAAAGGTTCATGGATTCCAGACAAGGTGCTCCCTGAGTCATTCAGGACACACTGGGCTACTGCCATCCATGGCTGCTCACGGAGGTGGCCTCCTCTGCTGTCTCAGTCTATTCTGCCAGGCATTTTGTCTCATATGGACCCACCTATGATCAAGGGCTGGCAGATGGCCACCTTCCCACCATGTCCTCATCTGGCCAAGGGGAAGCTGTCCCTCTCAGTCTCCCTCTCTCTTCCTCAACAGCCTTCCTCCCCTCCATCCTCTTACTGGGATACCTGTTCCACTGGGTCAGGGTCCCATTCCTACAACTTTATTTCACCTTAACTGTATCTAATAAAGAACCTATCTCCAAATTCAGACACGATGGAGACTTGGGACTTCCACACGCTCATTCACCCACAAATACCCATGCTGCCGCTGGCTGCTGGCCAGAGGGAATGGAGGCTCCTGGTGGGGTCCTGGGAGCCAAAAAGCACACGAAAGAACCACATCATGTCATTTTGCAGGGGACAGAAGTCACAGACGGAAGTACTGAAAGAACCCTGGGCCTCAGTCCAGGCCCACAGGGTTCTGGGGCACTACATCCCAAATCTGATTTCTGCTGTGATGGGGTCTTCAGCCCACACAGAAGGAGACACTCACAGAACAGGTTGTGCTATACCTGCTGTCCCAGAAATTGCAGAGGGCCAGAGAGAAAGCCTGGTGTTCTCCACTGATGCCAACATTAGGAGAGCGGCCACAGTTCCCTTCCAGGAGACTGCCAGGCTTTCTGCAGGATTTAATTCACCCCAATCGAACCAACGGGGAAGGGTCCCAGCAGCTGCTGTGACACAGGCCGAGCAGAAATCAACCGTCCTGGGAGGGGTCATCAAAGATCATTTTGGATAAATAGTCATTTCAAAAATATTGGACAATAACATGTCTGTAGAGCTTGAGGGAATTTGAGAACTCACAATGGAGGCAGCAGCCGAGAAACCCAGCGCCATGCCGACAAGCCCCAAACTGCACCTTTTCCTGCACCACAGCAATACCCTGGTGGGAGAACCAGCTCAGCAACAGCTGGTGACACAAAGCCCAATGATCACACGGAGATTAAACTTCAGTCACTCCAAGTGGCCAGGTGACATTTTTACCCTAACTCCGCTGGGCTCTATTCCTGGAGGCTAAAACCCTGTATTAGTTACTTTTGTCACTCTGTGACCAGATATCTGACAACGTAAGGAAAGAAGGGTTTATTCTGGCTCAAAGCGGAGTGCAATTTACCATGGCTTAACATGACATCTGCTGGTCACATGACATATGCTGGTCACATGACATATGCTGATCACATGACACCTGCTGGTCACATGACACCTGCCAGAAAGCGAAGAGAGACAAATGCTGCTGCTCACCCTGCTTTCTCTCTGCATTCGATCTGGGACCCAGCTCATGGGATGATGCTGTACATCCAAAGCGAGACCCGCCTCAGCTAACCTAATCTAGAAACTCCCTTGCAAATATGGCCAGGGCCTTGTCTCCTCGGTGAGCACAATCCTGTCATGTTGATAATCACTGACCCTTCCAATCTTTTGTCAGCAGCTCCTAGTCCAGTGGGACATGAAGAAAGGGCTGTATGTCCTGAAGGGCCATCTAGACATCCCCCGCTATTAGCTGGACAGAGGGAGCAGAAGTAGACTCTGGACGCTGTCCCCAGACATGCATACTCCTCTGACTGTGTAACAGGGCTTTGTGCTCAACGCTTTCACAGCCTGAAACTCCACTCAGAGGTCCCAGGGGCCCTGGGACTGAGCCTGCCGCCCTCTTTTTAGAGACTGAAACAGGATGGCTACAACCAGAAGCACAACAAGAAGCTGAACAAAGCTGCCTTTAAAGAAAGAAAGAAATGCAGACAATCACCTGGTGTGGATGGAGAAGGATGAGAGCTGACACCATGAATCGATATCGCTGTGGTTACCTGGGTCATATACTGAATAATCCACAGGCTTTTCCCTGGTCCCAAAGGATAACAAGGCTATGTTTTCTCTGTAAAAACTGTTGAGTTCAGTGCTGACCACTACCCAAAGATGGCTGATAAGGAAAGAAATGAACCCCTAGCAGTCCCCAGTATCCAATCCTAAGTCTGAGGCAGGAGGGGAAAATCTTCCTGTCAGGGCACAAAGCTGTTTGCCAGTCTTCTAGGCCAATGTGTTGCCTGCCCCTCGGCTTTGCCTTCTTCAGTCTCTGGACTGTGATGGAGAACTTAACAAAGAGACTGGCACCTGGATAGCAGCGGGGGAAGAGCACCCCCGAATGTGTGTGGCACCACCTGAGAGGCTCCTCTTCCCAGGCATCCCAGGTCCCTGTCCTGACACCTGTGCCTGGCATGCAGAAGCAGAGAAAAGGCTCCCAGGTATACGGTGTATCCCCTGGCAGGGCTTCTGACATGCAGAGAGATGGGCCCCAGATCTGCACCCAGTCTGACCACGGGCAGATGTGAGACCCACTGCATGTTCCACTCCCCAAGAAACCAGGGGCTCTGGAAGCAGCTTCATTCATAGAAAGAGTCACCCACTCAGGACAAGAGCTGCCCTCAGGGGTCAGAGGTGTGAGAAGTGTCTCCTCACTTCTCAGTGACCCAAACCCAACCAGCCCAGTATGAGTTGCCAGAGTTAACAGTGCCCTGTCAAGGTTCTTACAGGAACCTTCGGGACACAGGGGAGGGGACCAGGCTGTGAACACCGCTTTCCTTATTATTGGTGCCAGACTGGTCTTCAGGGTCTGAGGATGCCGTGAGCTGAGCGTGGCAGAGCAGCCCACCCTCCACCCAAGTCCTGAATCATAGAAACGTGTGTCACGTCCCTTCTCCAGTGGTGTCCAGAGACAAGTGCTAGCGCTTGTCCTGCCTCCTGGTTCCCAACTCACTGAGAAGTCCATCTCTTCTCTGATTTCCAGAACATTCCCCTACTAAAGCTGGCCCAGCAAGTGGAAGATCTTCCTTCCAAGATTGTAAACTGTGTTTATGAACGCAACTTCAAGGTACTAAATGATCAGCAAAGACAAGGCCCACACAACTTTCTCCTGATCCCTCCGCTGGCCTATAGCCTGCTGCCTCTGCAAACCGCCAAGAGGCATGAGCCTCATTCCAGCATCCTTCCTGCTCTGACAATGCTACCCGGGTGAGGAGCTCCAGTGGCTTCAACAAGCCTGGAGGGACTTACTGGTCATGCCGGGTGTCAGGGATGCCTCTGTCCATACGCAGCTTGTCACTCTCAACTTGGTTGAACTTGTTGCGTGCATAGGGGTCCTGCCCAGAGCGAACCATTGTCCCACCAACATACGCCTCCTGGTTAAAGTCTGGCCACCGGACTTTCCCTGGAAAAAGCAGAGCAGAGGGTGTGTGACAAGAGGATACAAGACCAAAGTGCTGTCAGAGATGGCAACAAGTGTTAGATCAAGAAACGGTGGCCTTGGCTCGTTCACAGGATGACAATTTTAATAATAATAATAATAATAATAATAATGATGATGATGATGATGTAGCTGAAAGCACCCCGAGAGCTGTCATATGGGAAGCTGAGCGTCTGCAGTTTGCAAGACTCAGGCTCCACCTAAAGCTTCCCAACACAGCGCTGGCAACTCTGACAGCACTTCTCTTTCTGGGAAAGGGATGTCCTGTCTGCCTACTTTCCCATGGGACTTCACCCATGTCCCCAAAGCAGCCCAGGAAGGCAAAGGAGACAATGTGTGCATACATTAATAAGGTACTCCACTGTTCAGCCAGGTACTACAAGAATAAACGTTTGGACTATTGGGGTCCAAAACCAACGCCAAAGAGAAGCCACCAGGAGACGGAACTGAAGGGCCCAGAGGCAGCGGAGGCGACAGTCAAGGCACTCTAGGCCTCCTCCAGACTGCGCCTCCAGGAGGTCAAGGGCTAAGGTCAAGACAGTAAGAGGAAAGGGGGGTGCCAGAGTCGTTCCAACCAGGGTGCTGCCAGTTCTTTGGTTGGCTGGTGTTTAAGACAGTATCTCATGCAGCCCAGGCTGTCCTCACACTCACTAACTAGGCAGCTGAAGATGGTCTTACCTCCTGATCCTCCTGCCATCATCCTCAGCTCTCACTAAAACCATTCCATACTCACGTCTTTCCTCCCCACGAGGAGAGTCCCACGCTGCTAAATACCACTGGGCTAAGGGTTTCATTATTCATCCCTGTAACTCCTTGTGCACCCAGTACACCCAAACATGCTTCCCCTCTGAATCCCACTACTACAGCAGAATCACTGAACATCTGGAGAGGGACACACTCCCACAGTGTAGAAAATACCACACCCTAAGAAAAGGTATTTCCACAGCCTCTTGTGAGGCCTCCTTGGGGACCTCTCTGCAGCTGTCAGGATGCCTGGCCTTCTGGAGAAGTGAGAAATGTGACCGTCAGAGACACTCCATGACAGACAGGACACGGTTGTCCCTCGTGCACATGCCTTTTCCTGGGGAGAAGGTCGCTAGAATTGCCGGTGCACTGTACCCCCACACATACGTTTATTAGTTTTGCTTCAACTCCTTCCCGTTGGCATCTTCCCTGGAGTCCAGACTCCTATTGTGGTCACGGAGAGCGTTTTATGTGGTACATCAGGCCATGCAATTGCAGGGCACCTCACAGCCTTGCCTCGGTGTCTGAGGCACGAGTCACATGCTGGCATCATGGGCATAGCTGAGCACGGCAGGCTCATGCCTAGCCCCACTGAAGTGTTCATGTTCTGAGGGTGGGGGAGACAGACTAGGGAGCCATATCTAACCCTGGGGACCAGAAAGCCCCACAAAAGTCTATCTGAGCTGAGGCCAGGAGTCCCTGCGACACCTCAATGAATAAACTACTCTGCAGCAGCTCTTCCCTCTGACCGTGACCATATCCAGCTGGACACACAGATCCCACCTTGTACGATAGGGACTCTCCCTCGGGCACAATACCACAGGGCGAGAATGTGCTTTCCTTTCGGAAGTGTGGTAGATGTGAGAATGCCATGGGGGCTGCAGACATTTCCAACTGTGACACGCACCGAGTCCCGAATCAGAAGTGGCAAGGCATTCATACAAACCGCTAGAACCCTGGCCTCACTAGAACCTGACAGTGTAACCCTGGCCTCGCTAGAGCTGACAGTGTAACCCTGGCCTCGCTAGAGGAGAGGCGCGGTGCAGTCAGTGCTTTCATGCGGGTGGGACATAAAATTGACTTCATCATCTAATAATGGTTCAAAACCCACAATCTGAAAAACACTGGGCTCCAGAGCATCATAGAAATTGGTCGGTATCATGCAGAATTGTTAGGTTGGAGACTCCTGGGGCAGAGACAGTGGAAAGCAGAGGAAGAAAGCTCAGGGGAATAGGCTTCAGTCTGGCCCATCCCCTAGCCTCCACTCCATCCTGGCCCATGCCCTCTCCCGAGTCCAGCCCAGCCCACACAGACAGGCAGGCAGCCAGGAGCAGAGAGCTGAGCGCTAGGCAGCTCAAGCCACAGGAAGAAACAATGAACCGAATCCTGATATTCACAAAACACCTGTACTCACAAGAGATTAAAATTTCAGCTTGGGAAATTACAAGTTACAGAAAACAAAACAAAACAAAAACCCATCAACTTTGTGATAGGCTAAGAAAGAGGCATATGGCAAAGGTTCCAGTCATCAGTGAGAGCCCTGCTCCCACACACCCCACCTCGAGCTGATGGAAAAGCGTGAGACTACACTTCACAGGAGGCAGCAGGAGCTAGTGTCACCACTAAAGATGACAAGAAGATAAAGTGCACATCCAGAGAGTGTGAGAACCACAGAGCAGGTCACCAAGCCAGCTGTGGAGCAGGGCTAAGAAAACACTCCCCAGCAGCTTTGCTTAGGAGTAGACTTCTCAAAGGCATGGCCTTCGAGGAGCTGCGTGCTCTAGTGCATGCTGAGACCAGCCACAAGAACGAGGTGCACAGTGACCTACAAGCAGGGTGAGCTGTCTGAGACCACACTGACTGGGCTGGAACAGGAAAGGCTGGCATGTCTTTCCCCCACACCCCAGGTAGCCCTAGGCTCCTTGCCTCTCTAGAAATGGTGTTTAACCAGTCGAAGGTCACCTTCAAGATCATGTCCTTCCGGAGAGCACTGGCCCATGTGGGTTCCCATTGACTCTGTAGTGCTCCAGTCTTCCATTCCCCACAAGACAGAATCCAGAACTCCATGGTCAGCCCCAGTCACCTGTTGGCTCTTACTCTCAGCATCCTTGGTACCCAACATGTCACAAACCCCTGCGTCTACTGCTTCACCCTGGGGTCTCATCCTGGACGAAGCTTCCTGAAGCTGAGTATCAAACTTGACAAATCCTAGGCCTGGCCTGGAAGAGTACAGCTTCACACTGGCTCTCACTCCTGCTGCAGCACGCCAGGGAAGACCTCCAACTGGCAGCCAGAAAACAGCAAGTCTATACCCAACCTCAGGTTCTTCAGGATGAAAACAGCTGCTACCTATACAGCCCTTTCTAATGTCATCCCCAGGGACCAGAGATGGAAAAGAGGTAGTCTTCCTCTCCTGCCCACTCACTGCTGGTCAGTCTCTGATGGCCAATAGTGGCAAGCTGGAGGAAGAGCTAGGATAACAGCAAGAGGAGGCATGAGTGCTCCTTGCCCATCATTCCCAACCCACGGCCTGCATCATGAAAACAACAGCTCAGAGTCAGGAGAGGATGAGTCAGTGGACGTGGATCACCATGCCCTTGGGAGACGAGGACGGAGGGAGCGGGTGTGGGCCCCGAGAGGGGACCCTAGGGATGGTGCTGTGAAGATGCTATCCTCCACCTTTGTCTCTGGGCCATTCTATCCCCTGCACTGTCCTGTCCTAGCCACTGCCTTCCCTTGACTCCTGGCTGTACCACCCTCCGGCCACCATCTCTTCCTCCACTCTTTTCCCACAGATGATGTTCCCAGATGTCTACTGACATTCTGGCTGCACTAGGTCGGCCTGTGTTTTGGACTGCAGCTGTGTTTTGGGCTGCAGTTTTAGACATGGCTGGGCTCCCGAGAGGCCTCTCTATCCCAGAGCCTCCTGGGAGGCTTCATGAGTCACTCCTTATGGCTGCAATCCTTGGGTTCTCAGTTCAGTTCAAGAAACTTCCCACATCACCTGCGCTTGGGCAGGAGCACTCACAGGTCGGCTACACACGGGGCAGAAGCCCTGGGAAGCTATCTACCCAGCTCAGGGCTTGGGTGGCCAGGACAGAGAACTCCTTAGCACCAGAGAGCTGATGTCAGGTTTCTAACTCATCTATAAATGAACTTGAAAAGACCACAGAGCTTCTCAATCAAAATGTGCCAGCCTTCACATGACTCATATCAATACTTTTTACTTAAAATAATGTAGATTTCTTTCTTGAAATTTTTGTTTTTACTAAACCCCATACCTGAAAGAATAATTGCATCAATATATAATATGTTTTCACACCAACATGGCCTGGTGCATGTTTGAAACAGGCACCGAGAGACACATGCTCTTTTAAGAGGCTCTGGGAGCAAGGACAGGGTACCTGACACAAGCTCCTGAGGATGGGCGCACCATCTGTCATCACAGGTGTCTCAGGGGCTCTGAGTTCAGCACAGATGTGAGCCCCCCAGGATGTGGACTCTCCAGCAGAGGCTACTCAAGCACACTGGATAGAACGCTTGACCAGAGTAGAAGCACCTTCTCCTGGGACAGCACAGGAGGGGGCCTGCAATAACCCATAGACAGACACCTGTGCCCACGAAGATCCTAAACTCCAAGGTTGATCTCAAACTGAACCTATTACTCCTGCTTGAAAGAAAAACCTCATGATGTCCCTGCTCTAAGTGCTGAGCACAGAAGAGAAGGCCAGGAGGACAAGGCCAGGACTGCAGCAAACAAGCCTGCTTCCACAAGGAAGAATGTGAGTGCTGTTATTGCTCCCTAGCTGGTATGGAGGAATCTTGCTGCACTATGAGAAACTTCTCTTGAAATAAAGCATCCTAAAACAACTCATTATTAGGGATGAAAAGGCAGAAAATTCAAAGCAATGAAAAGTAATTTATCAATAAATCTATGGAATTGCCAGATGTTACAGGAGAAACAGAATTTCTTTAGAATCATTGATGCTATCAAACGAGCAGTTTCAAACAGCAATGAGCAGGAGCAGTTGGTCTGCATTCATGAGGTTTAAGCCTAGCAGTTATGGGCAGTAGGCAGAATGTCTGGCCTAACACCAAAGCTGGAGGACAACAGAAGAAACTAAAACTACAGAATACAATTTTTTTCATGAACATATACAAAAAAGTCAATGAAATATTAGCAAATAAAACCCAGGGATATACAAAAAGAATTCCATTTT